ATTATTGAAGTAAAATATATTATTAATTAAAATAAAAATATATATCATTATTTTATTAAAAAATACTTGAGGATATGTATATTATATAATATTAATTAATTAATTTAAAAATTAATTAATTAAAAAAAATACATTATTTTAAAAAAATGAAGTAAAGGCCGAAAAAAAAAATGCAAAAGCGTGAATGTGCAATGCCACGGAAGCCGATGACAAACGGGCGTCACTAAGTCAGTTAGCGGAGGGGCTGATTTGCACCCACCGTGGGGTTGGAGGGCTTATTTATCACTTTTTTAGTTCAGGGACTTGTCACTTACCGTCGACAAAGTTGAGGGGTTTAAGAAGGGTTTTTACCTTGTACTTTAGAGATGAAAATCTTCATGCAAGATTACCGTTAAACTTGAACACTACATGCAACTTTGTATGTATGGACTAGGTGAAACGACATGGCGCCACCCTGTGGCGTCAATGACTGCCATAACTTCTTGTCTAACGTCCCAACATTACAAAGTACATAAATAATTGAACTCTTGATATTGACACCAACTCTTAATGAAATTGTTAATTATCAACAGACTGTGTGGAATTCAAACTTAAAAATAAACAGTTGAAGAATCTGAATCTTATTAATTGACATGAGTCAGTTTTTATTGATAAAGTTACACACGTTTAGTTAAACCCTATTAAGACCTATTAGGTATATAGTAGCTTTAGGGTAACGGTTAGTCATTTTATCTAAATCACTAAAGATAAATATTTGGTAAATATATATTTTAAACCCATTACAAATAAGATATTTGATAAAAATTTTTATTTAGTGGTTTGGCACTAATGAATAGTGAGTATGATCCAAACCACTAGTATATTGAAAAAACTAATTTAGGTAATTTTTTGTACGTAATCTCTAGTGGATTGAAATTTTTTAATTTTATTGATAAATTTATCTTTTTTTATTTTTTATTTGTTAGCTATAGTTTTTAATTAATATTTATCTAATAAGTTTCAATTTTGTTTTTTTACCTTTAATAATATTAAGTGATTATTATAGTTTTATTTTTTACATTAATTTATTATAAAAATATATATTATCTTAATAAA